TCTGCTCTCCAGTACAGATTAGTAAGAGTCCTCTACAGGTGCAGTCAGAGGTGAATATTTGAGAATGGCCAATATTTTAGAAGACATTTTAGAATAAGGATTTTTAGTGAATCCATGTGAAATACTCACAGGTTTTGTGCTACACCTCAAAAAAGGTCCCAGCTCTGAAACTGCAGCAGTCTTGGTATTTTGCCCTCACTTCAGGAGACCAGTATTAATTTAGTTTCCAGCTCTAGTCACAATGCAGTTAATCTTTTATCATATAGCAGGGGTATGTGTTAGAAAGAAGTTTTTAGAAGGTATATATTAATCCCTACAAACCAGGACAATCATATACAGGCCATTCACTTAAGAACTGGACCTGACGATCCTTGTGGGTCCCTTCCAACTCAGCTTATTCTGTGAAATCTGTGAAATAATTTGTCAACGTCATTCATAACGACCAAAGTGAAAAATTCATAGACCTACAGATGCAGTTTGTGTGGGAGGAGCGTGTCATTGTAAAACTCATCTCAAAACTTGCCAGATTTTCCATTACTGGGAATACAAGGCTAAATTCTAAGACCTGATACCATTTTTTATGTAACCTCTGTGCAATACTCTCAGCTTAAACACAATTAATAGCCTTAAATCTCACACAGCTAAACCCCTCCAATTATACAAGGCTCTCAGGCACCAGCAATTCCTCTGAGGTTTTCAGTTCTGTTGGAGTTAGTGGAGCACTGAGGGAAACTCCAGGTTTCAGGAGCAGTGTGGGCTTGGACAGCTTTCATCCCTTCCTTGGTGCTCCTTCCTCCACTGACATCTTACCACCCCAATTGTCACTGAGCTGAAAGAGGACAGCATACCCAAATGACAAGGGATCTTCCACAATGCAGACATGAAGGTCTGACTTTGACAAATGTTGTGAAAATAACGACGGAAAGAACAGTTGAGATTTCAGGGTTGTTGGTTATTTTTGTAGCCTAAACAAATTCGTGAGGAATATAAGGAAAATAAAACCAAGACAACAACAACAATCTCTGATCAGTTTTCAAAGCAGAAGCTTTCAAGTAGTGCCTAACAAAAGAGCAAGGCGTACAAATGACATACAAAAAACACATCAATCAAAACTTCAGCACTGGAGACCATCAAAACCAGGGCTGACAACTCCCTGGCAAAGGCACTATAATGAAAATGCTGTATGAAAAGCAAATGGCTGTGAGGAAACCAGAAGCAGTTTCCCACTGTACCCACCAGTGAATGAACCCATTCAGCCCCCACACCCCCTGACTGCTCACATCTGCAGAGGGCTGCTCTCCAACACAAGAAATACTGTTCAAAGGGGCCAGTCTTCCCAAAATTAACTGGATTATACAGCACAGTCTTTGCAAAACACCATTAGGCTTTGGAAGTGGATTTTTATTTCATAGGCATTAAATCATAAACTCATAAAAATCTCTCCTTCTCCTGTTTCATTAACAGACATTCTGTGCCATTTTGGCTCACAGAGTATCGACAGCTACGAGCCTCGACAGAGCTACCAGTGTGTGAGACTGAGGCAGAGGGGATGCTCTGCTCCCAAAGACTTTTAAGGTACAGTCAAAATTCTCAAGAGTTAAAGCCAACAATGGTGAGGATTATGAAGTTTGCAAGAAACCAAGAAGGAACTGAAAGCCAAAAAAGTTCATTTCTCCAGCAATTCAGCCACAGCAAAGTAGCTCCTCAGCCGGCACTTATGAATCTGGACACATCTCTGGGAAGTTGAATTACAACACTTGAGCATTTCCGGAGAAAAGACAGGGCTGTTCATCCCTCATAATAACACTAACATGTCCTGCATCATCTGTAACCACTCCAGCTCTGCATGCAGCTCATTTACACGCTCTTGGCTTTTTCCAGAAGTGCTCCAGGAAGCATTTCGATACACAAGGCCTCCCATGACCAAGTAGTCCTTGACAGCTACTTGAAATTACAAATGGAGTACAGATCCTCTGACCTCTCAGGGTACACCTGAGCAGGGATGATCTAATGATTAAAGTCTCTCATTGCCTAAAATTCTGAAATTGCAAATACAGCTGGTACAGCTTTTTGCCCTTCTTGGCCATTTCAGCAGAGAGGCCAATGAACAACCACTGGAAAGGAAACATCACCTGAGAAGGAAATGTCTCCTAGACATTTATCTGTCCAAGTCACATCTGAGGTACGATGGCAGAGCAATGGACATAAAAAAATGGGAGTAGAGAATGGGAATCTGGATGGATTTAAATGATCATGCCCAAGAGAATTCCATTCTCTTAACTGAGAATTTCAGTCTCTGTGCTCGTGGGTCAAGCAGAAGCCACTGTATTTCCATTTGCATAAACCCTTTTGGGATTTATTTCTTGCCATCTTCATAGCTCTAAATGCAAGATCAAATTTTACAGTAACAGAGTTGCAGATGTGACCATTCGTCACCTCACATGAAAACAGCTCAGACACATCGCACTTGTGAGTAACAAAACCAGCCTCTGCCACGGTGTCAGATGAAATCCCATCCAGTCTAGTTACCAGAGGAAGTTTCATATGCTCACAGTCCCAACTAACCTATCTTTGTGGAGATTCTAATCTCAAAAATATGGTTATATATCGCCGCCTACCTCCAAAACCCCGCCACTATGTCTGTGTGCGCAGGCGCCGGGGGACCCGCTCAGGACACGCTGCACACCCACTGCTGGGACCTGAACCTGCCTGTTCCTGCTGCCATCCACCTCCCTGAGACGCTGGGCCAGGCCCTGGGATTTCATGCCTTTGGTGGATGTCTTTTTCTGAACTTGGAATATTGTAGCTACGCCGTCCGGTAATCGGAGTCTGTTATAAATTGTTAATTGTGATCAATAATTCAACCTTTACAAGTAATTGTTAAACAGCTAAAGGGGTAATAAGACAAGAGAAAAACAAAATAGTCAATTTTCACAAGCCATAGCAAAAGATGACTTGGTAGCCACTTCAAGTCTTTTTGACTGTCTGAGGCAAAGTGTAAAGTCAAAGAGCGGTGCTAAGCAGAGGTTCTGCTCAGTCCATGGAGGCTGCATCAAACCCACAAAGTCAGGGTTGGGCACAGAAGGCAGGAAAGAAATGAAATCTCAGAGCAATGGGAGTGGAAACTACCACATGGAGGTAAAATTGCCATTAAAAGTCTTAAGGAGAATAAGTTGAGTTTGGTGTTTCTACCAAAGGCTGACAGGCAGTGCCACTGCCGGGGGGATCAGAACTTGCTGAGTGCCATACTTGGCTCACTGCATGGCACTGACGTAACTGAAAGGAGAATCTAATTCAAATTGAGTCAATACAAAAACTTAAAACACCCTGATGACAGACATGAAAATATCTCAAAAGGCAAACCCCCCCAAAGTTCTAAGCAGCAAACAGAGCATTTCACAACATTATGTGAGACAAGTACAAAGGTTCCCAACCATTACTCTCATTTATTCTTTCCTTCTAAGATGTGTAAAGATTTTAGAGATAAGACATAAAATGAACTCTAGTCTGTGCCTGTTTACAGTGATTTCATCCCAGCTCTCTCTCTCAAACAGCCCCATCTCTTCTTGGCCCCTGTCCCCTGGTTCCTCAGGGCCAACAGCCATTGTTCAGCTCCCAGCTCGACTGCAGCAAAGCAGCTCTTGAAAGAGCTGTAGAAATGGTGGCACTTTAATGCCAGAGCTCAGCATAGCAACCAGCCGCCCTAAATAAATAAATAATGAAGCGTGGTATTCCAACAGATAATATAAATACACTTTCAGCAAATTGCTTGGGTCCAAAGGTCAGTCAACTTGTTTGCTCTGACTCCCAGAATGTGTAAATCTCAACATGATGTTTAAACACAAACACAGACAAACATCAAAGTTCAATGCTGACATATTTTACACCTCGGAGTTGAATGCCAGAATAGCTCTGTACCACACAGGGAAAACTGTAATGCATGTGTAAGGAAGTGACAAAACATTATCCCAAACTAAATGCAAATTTTTTTCTTTAAATATCCTCTCATTCTGTATTTTTCCTCTTCTCTATCCTCTATTTACTCTCATTCATCCTCTCACACAGAGAAGTATTTGTGCAGCTGTCTAATTTCACCATTCCTCCCCTTTATTACCCATCAAGGGGGAGATGAAACTTTCCATCCCAAGCCTCATTTCAGGGATGTGTGTTGCTGTATCCCTGACTGAGTCACACACACGGACATACCTGTACTTGGGAAAACACCACATTTCAAGGTAAACCACCAGTTCCTGAGCTAGAGAATGGACACAGCAGCTACACTGACTCTGCTGGGCTGCTGTGCAGACACACCAGTCTCAGCCTCTCTCCCTCTCTCCTAAAGGAAACGTGCAAACAACCTCACAGCTCCCACTCGAGCTGTGCTTTCCTTCCTTGCTGGGTTCTCATTCATCTTCCCCTTGGGCAGCTGCCCAAACCCAAAATACAAGGGGGCTTCAGGAAGCACAAGAAATTAATTTCGTGCCTGGATACCCATCGGAGTGAAAGGGAACTGCTGTCCCCACTCTCCCAGAGCCATCTGCCCCCTCCCTCTGGGGTGACACGCGTGGGAGTGGCAGTGGCTGTGCCTCGGGAGGGCTCAGGGTGGGCTCAGCCTCTCTGTCCATGATCCCAGCACTGCCAGGAAACCAGCACCGGCTCCGGAGTCACCGGGCTCTCCTTTCCCTGCCCCGGGAAACCTGGGCTGGGGCAAAACCCTTTGTCAGCAGTGGGGAATTCACGAGGGGGCCCTTCCTCACCGTCACGTTTTCTTGGATGAGACGGGGAAAGGCGGGATGCAGGGAAGGAGGAGCGGGCAACTTCTGAAATGTAGCCAGTGCCATGGCTCAGCACGGCGGGGTTCTGCAGAGCGAGAGCCCCTTCTCCAGCAGCTTTTCCAGGCGATCCCATCCATCCCACCTGGAGGGGAGGGAAAGGGGGGGGACTCCCCGGCAGAGCAGCAGGTGGGCGCTCCCCCCTCCCCTCCACGGCGATGCTCTCACCTTCCTGGCTCCTCTCCTGGCGAACTCCCGGGCCAGGTGGCGACCGATGCCGCGGCCCCCGCCGGTGACCAGCACGTTCTCCTGGGACAGGTCCCGGAGCTTGGGCGGCAGCACCAGGCACACGGCAGCTTTCACCACCAGGTACACCATCTGCACCGGGAAGAGCAGCAGGGCGCCCAGCCACTTCCACATCATCCTCTTCTCCCAGGCAAAATTCTCTTCCAAACCTCCACAAAACCAAGTTGACACAGAAAGAAAAGCAGTACCCTTCGTGCACCCCCAGATGGGTGACAAGTCTTCAACCCCCCCTCTTCCAAAACTTGGGGGCAAGAGGTTCTTGGGCTGCAAAAATCCTTCTCTTCCCCTAAAAACAAAAACAAAACAAAAAAAAGGGGGTAGGAGTAAAGTAGTGCAGAAGACCAAGTCACTCCCCTGTTTCTTGGTCGGTGTCCTCTGGGATTGTCACATGCAGGTAAAACGGTTTCCTTGCTTTTTAACTGGAAAGCTTTTTTTTTTTTTTAATTAAAAGAGAAAAAAAAAAAAGTAAAATTAAAAGTAACCACACATCCCTCCGCTGCAAAGAGCCACATAAAAATCCAGTATCCAAATGGAAGGTTTTTATATTTGGAAAAATAAAATAAAGCAGCCTATGTCTCCAAATTTCAGCCTGCAGTGCCTTCCAGGCAGCTCATTTCTATTCTTAGACTCAGGAAATTGCTTAAATAAGACAGAATTGCCAGGACCTTCTTTTTAAGAAAGGCTCTATTCAGGGTGAGGTTGTTGTTTTTGTTTTTATATCTATAAATATCTATAGACGTTCTGTCCTGAGCCGGTTGCAAAGGTTGAGCTGGTCTCCGCCTCTCTCTGCCCCCTCTCCCGGTTTTTTCACTTGGAGCGTCTGATCACAGAGCAGGAATTACGCCGTGCACTAGTTCAGCTCTGGCTCTTACTCATTGCTCCCTATTGCTCTCTCTGCCGATCACGGCCGCGGCGCTGGGGAGGTTTTATACCCCATTAAGCCTGATTGACAGTTAAAGTGTCGGGGAGATTTCACTACTGTTCCTGGGAGTGGCCGCTGCTCTGCCCTCCCCCGCGCCGGCTGCGCCCAACGCGGCGGCGAGCGGGCTCCGGGGCCGGACCGGGCGCACGGGGGCGAGCTGCGGGCACGGGGGCGAGCTGCGGGGCACTGGGGGGCTCGGCCACGCTGGGCCAGCTGGGGCACGGGGCTCGGCCATGCTGGGCTCGTGCCATGCTGGGACGCGTTGGATGCCCCGCTGGGCTCGTGCCGCGCTGGGCGAGCTGCAGGCTCGCCGGGCCAGCTGGGCTCGTGCCACGCCGCGCTTATGCCACGCTGGGCCATCTGCAGGCCACGCCGGGCTTGTGTCACGTTGGGCTCGCTGCGTGCCATGCTGGGCTCGTGGCACGCTGGGCTTGCTACGTGCCGCGTTGGGCTTGTTACCTGCTGCACTGGGCTCATAGCACTGGCCTCGCTCCGTGCCACAGGGGCTCGTGCCATGCTGGGCTTGTGAATGCACTCAGGGCTCGTGCTGCTTTTGTCTTGCCTCATGCCATGCTGGGCTCGTGGCACACTGGGCTTGCTACATGCCACGTTGGGCTTGTTACCTGCTACACTGGGATCAAAGCACGCTGGCCTTGCTACGTGCCACATGGGCTCATGCCATGCCAGACTGGTGGCATGTCCTGTTGGGCTCCCTGCACACCATGCTGGGCTCGCTCTGTGCCATGCTGGGCTCATGCCATGCTGGGCTCGCTCCGTGCCATGCTGGGCTCATGCCATGCTAGGCTCATGCTGTGCTGGGCTCCCTGTGTGCCCTGTTGGGCTCCCTCCATGCTGCCTTGGGCTCTCTCTGTGCCGCTCTGGGCTTGTGCCACATTGGAACCAAAGTGCTCTGTCACCAAGCTGGGCAGCCCCTGCCTCCTCCCTCACCCAGAAAGAAGGTGCTGTGGTCTGACAAGGGAAAAGCAGGTCCAGGAACAGTCGGGGTTAAGGCTGAGTTCACAGGAACCATCTCTGCACCACGGAGCTCTGGCAGGGAGCTACTTGCCTAAGATAAGCTGGCATGGAGGGAAAGGCTACTTTCAGCCCTAGATTGGCAGCCTGAACCCAGCCTAGGCTGACAGTCACCATCTAAGTACCCCTGGACCAGTGTTTTTATGGCCAGTGTGACAGCTCATGGATTTTCCGTGCTGGAAGATGTTTGCATTGCTGAAAGCTGGTGATTTCGTAGTGGGCAGTGAAAAAGGCAGGCTCCAAATGACAGAGGGAGACTCACTTCTCACAATACAGGGTGGTTTCTTCTCTCTCCCTTTCCAAGACTTTTTTTTGTCCAGTGATGAGGGCACAGTTGCAACACCAGAAGGTCTCCATAGCACTTTAAACTATAAGAGGAGAAAGGGCAGAGTGTGTTGCAGCTGGGCCCCCCAGCCTGGCTGTTTGCACTGTCAAGCATTAGGCAGGTAAGTTAAGTTTTCAGCTGTACAGATTAAGCTTTTCTGAGAGGGCTCCAACTGCACATTGCACCTGAGAGCTGCTCATGCCCAGTCAGGAGCTGTGGCAGCAATCAGAAATAAAATCACCTAAAATGCAAAGCTTTTTGGGATGTCAAAAGTTCTCAAGGATGTCAAACCTCACAGTGTTTTTTCAGAGCTGAGCTGGAAAGGAACTTCGTGTTTATATCTGCATATATCATTAGGAATGTGCCAAAATGAATCCAGTCCCACACGTTCACTCAGGTCTGGATCCAGATGCACTATCCTGGGAAGCCATCTAGTGGTACACATCGGAATTGAGAAAAAAAATGACGAATGTAAAGACTTTCTCCAACCTTTATGTCTGTAGTTCTAAAAAACTACCTCAGTGGGAGTGTGAGTCTAAGCATTTATACAAGTTATATTACACAACCGATAGAGGTGAGTTTGGAAGCTGAATCCCTTTGAAAATAAACTCAATTTTATGCTTTGGAATCAAACAGGTATTTTTGGGAACAGGCATTGTTCAAAGTGGCCGAATGGGAACAAAGTGTTCAGGGGTTGGTTGTTTGCAGAAAGAAGAGCAGCCCGAGTTTCTGGTACCCCCCCATGTCCAACAGCTTTATCACACAAAGGTTTTTTAACACAAAATATGAATCATGTCTAAATCCTTGAATTGCAGCTCCGTTAAGTTACACAAACATTTTAAGGAAAAAAAAAAAGGAAATAAAATTGAGAGAGAGACTTGCAGAGTTCTTACCTTTAACTGCCAGGTTACCTCATGTGAAATGAGCCATCTGACTGTCACTGCATCACAACAAAGTGTCAGGAGAGGGGCTTTTGGAGAAAGAAGATGAAGCCTTCTAACTGGAAACTTCAAGTCTGTGCATACTGTCAGAGTCAGTGAGTATTCCCTAACTGAGCTGCCTCTGAACTAACCAGAGCTCAGAGGATTTCCATGGCCCTTGGCAGCATTTAGCACCTCGGTGCGTTTTTACAGTAATACCTTTAGAAATGGAGCTTAGGGAGGCACCTGGCATTACAACTTTCCTCTCAGTCCAAAAACTCTGAAGGGGAGAGAGAAATTACCCAGAGAGCCCAGTGTCTGGTTTAAACAGGAATGACTCAGTGTCTGGACTGGGAACAAATATAACAACTTTCTGGTGCGGAAATAAGGACCAGTGTTGAAAATGAAAGGATATGAACTCCATCAAAGTACATTTGATTTTTTTGACTCCTGAGTTCAGTCTCTTTATGCATAAAGAGACCACAGACACATTTACAGTAGAAAACTCAGCAATATTACACAGTTAACCTGTTTGGATTTAAAAGAAAATTCATTATTAATGTAAAACATTTGCAGTTCCTTTGAAGCCAGTGGGAGCGGAATAATCTTGTGAATATTGATTTAATGTATCTGTTTCCAGCTTGAATAATAATAATCTAAATATGTGTTGGAAGTGGGTTTTTTATTATTCATTATGACTTTGACCCATGTACAAAGTTGCTACCAAATTTGGAGTGGGAGTAAAAAGATACTTGTCTGTTTAAATTTCTGGGTTTGTACTTGTACAGCTTTTGGACTGTAGTTAGTGTAGATTTACTCATACTCTCAGTGAGAGTCACAGAATCTGACTTTTTCTGACTTGTCCTGTCTTGAAGGAAAAAACAGCAATGAAAAAGCAACATTTACCTCCCAAACAAGTTGATACACTCTCTATACACACCTTCATGTTGCACCTCTATTTATTGGCAGAGCTCTGACTGTTCACAGAGCCTTTGCAGCCAAGTTCCTGCCAGCCTTGGAAGGGCTGTTAGTGCAAATGAAGTCGCTAAACTGCGAGAACTTTTGAAAGGAAAAAGAGCTGGAAATTAAAACCACGCTCAAGGCATGTCTGAAAGCCATTTGGGCTAACAGTTCTGTGTTTTCAACTTAAAAAAACCCACCCAAATATATGCAGTACATTGGTGAAGAATGTGAAAACCTGGGAGCACAGAGGAGCAGTTACACAATGGAAAGTCTGTGTGACTGTGGTGTCAAGTAATACCAGTTTTTTACATCAATGCAAGGTTCTTGATCGTGGACAATCTATCATGATCACAGAATAAACCTAAACCCCCTTTTAAAAAGGAAAACCTTTTGCCAAGCTGATCTGTTTTGTGTTAGATGAAGTCCTGCTGTCAGATTTGGATAAATCAAGAGCTAAATTTTTGTGCTTCTTGATTTCATTCCTCCCTTGAGTTCACATTTTCCATTTGAAACGTGTCCCAGTGGTTCTGTGATTTCACACTGTCCTTCTCTATGCTCTTAAATATTAAGAGTCTGATACTGTTGCCTTGTAAGTGGAGTTTTGCCACAGACTAAGCTGAAAGGCCCCAGGTTTCTGGTTAACTTCCAGCCCTGACAGCAAAGCCTCTGCATTCAGTCTTGTGTGAAAAGCTGCATTTGGATGTTTTGCTGCTTTCCCAGAGTCTCACACCGAGCAGTGTCATGAACAAAGATGACTGAGTAATTCTAAATTCTGGATGACATCCTTTTTTTTAGATTCAGGATGTGTAAATATAATTATCTCTATAAGCAGAAGTGTTCAGAGTGCACGTAGGTGCTGTCTGGAATTCAAAGGGATGCAGCATCACGGATCTGGTACTTGTTTCATTTGCTGGTTGCTTTAGTACATTAGTTTGTCATCTGTACTAAGTGCCCTTCCTTTTCCTCACCTATCTCTAATTAGAAGCCAAATCTGTCTCAATCTGTTAGGCTGCTTCTTTGTATTGGAAGATAGAACAGTGAAAAAATGCCACATGTGAGCAGGAATGGAGTGACTGCATTTGTTAAACTGATGGACTCACCTTCTCTTCCTTGCATTTACCTCACTTTTATATCAGTCAATATTTACCCATCCCCTCTGACTAATTCCTCAGTCCTGGCAAAACTTCTAAGACATACAAGGAACTGGGGAGGCACAAGAATTATGTCCATAAGGCCCTCAAAATTAGAGAAAAATCCTGAAATCCTCCTAAACCAATGTGACATGGATTTTGACAAAAACTGAACAGCAGGCTAATGCCTGTAACAGGTTTGCACTGGAAACTTTTAAATGAGCTTAGGAAAGAAATCTCAGGATGAAATGTTCCCTGAATTCTTTCTAACAATGTCTTTTTAAAACAATTCCTTACATGCAGCTATAATTTCTTTTCAGAGCCAGTGGCTCACTGGTACGTACCAAGGTGAAATAATTCAGGGCCTCTGACTGTCCTAAGGCTCTTCAAACTTGACAGTTCTACAAAGGAAGCCAAAAAGAGGAGCAATGTTAGGAAGAGAATGCTGCTGTCAAAGGCAAACATTTTTGGCTGGGAGGCTGGGATGGATCAGGTGTAGGAATTGATGTGGAAAAATAAGATTGCATTAAATTCAATAAACCCCAACCTAGATATGCCTTCTCAGAATATATAAGTAGCCTTAAATTTTGCTTTAATTGATGTTGGGTGTTTTTTTTTTTGGTTTGGTT